GTGTGTGTGTGTTTGTGTGTGTGTGTGTGTGTGTGTGTGTGTGTGTGTGTGTGTGTGTGTGTGTAGCGGTGCTCAAACAGGCAGGTGTTTGAGGTTGATACCTGCAGCTCCAGCAGCGCTGATCACCTCAGCGTGGCACCTCACCTTGGGAGGGAGACAGCTCTAAACTCATTAGCACACACACACACACACACACACACACACACACACACACACACACACACACACACACACACACACACACACACAGGTGCCAAATACATTGGGTTACCTGGGGGAAAAGAGGAAATGGCAAATAGGCTTAGGGGAGATAGAGGAGAGGAGGGAGAATATTCCCTGAGAGAAGAGGAGAGAAAATCCATTTACCGAATAAAAGATAACCAGGTACTTGTGGAAAACAAAGAGAAAGATGAGGGAAGGAGGTGGTGTTGGGCCTGGAGGGACAAAACGGGAAAAAAAATAAGAAAAGGGAAATCATTTTGGAAGACTTTGGCAGAAGGTAGGAGAGAGGGAGGAGGGGAACATAAAGGAGGCTGAGTGGAGGACGAGAGAAAGGAGGAGAAAGAAAAAGAGGAGGAGGAGGCTTGAAGACAGCATAACAGGATGTGATGGCTTTAAAGGCAGCTTGTATTCACAAAGGCAGCAGCTGCACTCTCATTATCCGCCTGCTTGTATTTGTGTGAATTCAATTTAATCTGGGTGCATTGTAGCTTACCTCCTTCTCCTGTTCTACTGCAGGCTGTATGTACAAACTCAGGGAAGAACATCTAAACAGCATTACAGGGAAATTAAGCCTTACTTTCATTATGCTGGATGAAAAACAACATCCTCAAGGTTGAATGCAGCTGAAATCAACTAGAAAAAAATCAATCAACTAATAAGATTAGAGATCATCAGCAGAAACACAGGCGAGAATGCTTATGGGACATTTTATAAATAGTATAGCCTGTCATTTATCAAGTTAAAGACACACTGGTAAACACTTGCATGGTCACGATATCAAATTACTATCTAAAAGTTGTCGTTCAAAGTGAGGATGAATCCGTGTCTGCAGTGTTATTATGTTTTGGGTGTTTCGATTTTTCAGCAATAATCGGTACTCTTGGTTTGCTTTCACTGCTCTTATTAGCAAACCAACCTGCTCTAAACCAAACGATACAAAGAGAGAGAACAGCTGGTGAACATAGAAGAGCATTAAGCAGCCAGATTATTAACTCAGGAGTTTGTGGATATGTTTAAAATGTGGGAAGAAACAAAGACTCTAAATAAATGCTTTATTTGCTCTGTGACTGCAGGAGATAGACAAATGTTTGCAAACATATAAGTAATAACTTTATGAGGTATCATTTGTCTTTCCAGATAGTTTCATTAAAACAATCTCTTTTGTTGGAAGAAATATGTATATGTTTGGATTTTAAATAATACAAATTTGTTGTGAGTTGTGGAAATGAACCTTTATTATTCAACATGCAATTATCCACATCCACTTAAGTAAAGTTGGTTTTATGGTATCGTATTTATGTCGGTCTTTAATAATTCCAACAATATACCATGCATATACACCATATCACACAGTCTTTGTTCATGTAGATGTGTTTCCCGATTAAAATTATTAGAATAAGAATGAATAAAAATGATTCCTCTACATTAAAAACCTTAGTCTTTTTAACGTGAGCACTGCTTGAAATGTCACTACTACGTGTCCTGATTTGGTCCTCTTAAATGTAGAAACACAAGTATACTCACATCCGTACTGTACATATAAACTGAGCAGTGGGAAGAGAGCACCTTTTTTGTGTGGCGTTGAGATAAATAGGATTAGGGATTTGGGAGATTTAGGGGGAATAATCCGCCTGTGTACCGGAGAGCGGCAGCAGCGTTGATGATCAAAAGAGAACACTGTGATTCAGAGCTCAGAAATCTCTGGACGGACTGAAAACTTGGAATGACATTTCCTTCATTTAATTTTCTCCAAGGATCAGCTCTTATGTTTTCACTGTGACTGCTGTAATTGCCACATAATCACCTCATACTGTACAACACTGTGAGACTGTGTGTGTGTGTGTGTGTGTGTGTGTGTGTGTGTGTGTGTGTGTGTGTGTGTGTGTGTGTGTGTGTGTGTGTGTACGCAAGTGTTTGTGAATGTACGAGAGCCGGGGATTCAGAGAATTCTGTATTCATAGTAATTAATCAGATTTACAGTTTACATCAGGGGAGAGAGAGTCTGTTTGTTGTGGGTGTTAGTATTAAGCAGGGGATTGGACTTGGTTATTCAACACAGAGTGGATTTGAACAGCTGCTCTGTTCTGCTACTATCTATACCTCCATATCAATACAACATATCCAGAAGAAAACACAAATCTCACCGGTAGCTCGTCTCTCCTGCACACTGAAACAGCCCATGATGGTTGAGTGTACCCAGCATATCATTCTTTGCCTTTAATCACTTAAAGCTTTTCAGGCTGGAGCTGAACCCGAGAGCAGGAAAACAATGAAGGCAGGTCATGTGTTTCCACAGGATAAACAAAGCCACAGTGTTACTGCATGACTTCCAGGATTGAGCAGCAGTCCGGTTAAAGAAAACGTTTTTGTAAATGCAAGAGACTGTTTCCTTTTCGAGCCTGAGGAATAAAAAAAGAAAACAGACAGTGTTTGATTCCTTCTGAAGAAACCTGGGGCCGTATTCACAAAGGATTTTAGGGCTAAAAGTAGCTCCTAACTGGCGAATTTAGGAGAAACTCCTAAGCATAATGGGCGTGTCAGTCTTAAATTTAGAACTCCTAATTTTATTCACTAAGAGCAATTCACAAAGTATTTTAGGCCTAAAAGTAGCACCTAAGTCTGGGAGAGCTTAAAAGTCCTCGAGAGGACTCCTAACTCAGTAAGACCTATTCACAAAGAATCTGAAAATGGCTGAGAGACGAAATGTTTTGGAGACAATGGAAGACTGTGAATTGATCAAGAGATATAGGCTAAATCGTGAGGGTATCAAACTTGTTGTGGAATTAGTGCGGGATGCAATAACATCCCCGACTAACAGGAATAACCCGATTAGTCCGGAAATAAAATGTTTGGCAACACTACGATATTTAGCAACAGGGAAAATGCAACTTTGCAATGCCGACGATTTAGGAATATCGCAACCATCAGTCAGCTGTGCCATAAACCAAACCATCAACGCGCTCTCTAGACCACATATCATCCAACAGTTTATCCGGTTTCCTTTGGACAATCAACAACTACACAGGATCAAAGCCAACTTCATGGCAATGCAGGTATGCCCGGTGTGGTCGGTGCTATTGACGGGACGCACATAAAAATAATTGCGCCATCAAAAGATGAGGACGTGTTCGTCAATAGAAAGAAAGTACATTCCATCAACACGCAGATTGTTTTCATTCATCATGATAGGGGGACTTGAACGGCGGTATGGGCTGTTATTGAAAGTGTTTAAGTGCTGGAAATATGCTCATTGGATAATAGTTTGCAGGGTGCTTTTAATTGCCTCCTCGATTTAATGCAATTTACGTATTTTTATTGTTCGCTCTCTCTCTTTAACGTGCATATACAACGTCATTATCGTGGTCTGCACAAACTTGTCATCATGCGTGTATTCTGCTAACTGCACTGTCCATAACTATTTGATAGGAATACATTTCTAGCCTAGGCTATTTCCTTGTTTTTCGGTGATTTAGTGGGCTCGTTTGTGGGATGTTGCGGATGAGTTTCACCGAGACCGCCTACTCTGAACAACCAATCACCGTACTGACCGCTTCTAAACTCATGCACGAGAATCGACGTCATCCATAGCAACGGCGCGTCACTCTTAGTTCACTCTTAGTGATTTATCCTTAGTATGAGTAGGTCTCAGCGGCTTTGTGAATAACTTTTAAGAAAAAAACTCCTACGTAAAATGTTTTAGCGCGAGTTAGGAGCACTCCTAGCGGTAAGATAAAATGCTTTGTGAATACGGCCCCTGATGTCTACCTGAAACCTCATGTCGCACATATCTCCAGCTGAGGTTTTGTGTGTGTGTGTGTGTGTGTGTGTGCATTCAGATTGATAACACCTTAATATGGAAAGTAACATTACAATAGGGATTAACAGTTCTGATCTGATGTGATGCAGAAGTCTATTTACTCCTTTATGCTGTAATAAGTAATGCATTTTGTTTCAAAGCCAGTTGAGGGCAGCTTTTATCCTCTGTTGGCAACTGAGCATTTATAAGTTCAGTCATACTTCCATGAGGAAGGATAAGGCACTAGTTCACTTTAACCATGTTTTTTTAATGTCTGGAATCTAAATCTATTTCTGTTTCCAATGTGGATTCTGAAAGCCTCCACCGGTTATCTGTAATGGATCTAAAATATTTGTATCATTGTGTCCTAACGTGTCCAACCCAGAAAGTCAAAGACCACTCCAGTTACAAAAAAACACATTTATTGTCTAGATATTTAAATCAATTTAGATTAGCTAGCATTAAGACCATTTAGTATTTCTCCTGATTAGACGTTTCTTTTCCGTGTAAAAGACATACAAAAACAGTTTGTTATTTCTAAAGCATGTCCTGTAAGAAAAAAACATATATATACATTTTTACAAACATTCAACAGAGAAGAAACTGAAAAAAAAAAACAAGCACAAGGTCATGACATTAATGAGTTTCAAATGTCTGCAACTCCTTCCTGAAGCTGAAATATAACTGAATCTCTCTCTGTAGATCCATCTGGACAAATAATTGATTGTTGCTTGTTATCCTCAACTTTGTAAAGACAAAACATGACAGTTGTACTTTTCAAGGCAATTTCACAAGTGTACCACATTCAAGAAAATTAACAGAAACAGTATTAAAAAAAATAAAAAAAGGCAATTCTGTTTTTGAGATGTTTTTTTTTTTTTTTGCCAGGACTTTTCACTTGTTTGAACACAAGGTTAATTCATTTGTCAAGAGGATCTTCTTAGAAGTAGTTGGTCCCTGTTTATGAAGCGTGGTCAACCATCCATACAGTAAGACATCATGTGTTTGAAAGAGTGATAAAGGCAGGGGGGGTTATAATGTTTTAAATTAATGGGGCATTTTACATGATCTTTTCCTTTTAATCATTATAGACTCAACCAATGAACCTATGGTGAAAGGGAACACAGGCAATTTAACTGCAGCAGGGGGTCAATAAACAATATCAATTTGTAAATCAAACAGGAGACCAATTATCAATTCTGAGGGTCTGAATTGTTTCCTGGTAAATTCAGTAATAGTTGGAGTAAAGCTGGGGCCGTCATGTGCATCTGATGAAACACGCTGTGGTTCTCCTAAAAGCATAACAAAGTCGATCAATGCAATTTGAGGATTAATTAAATCGACGTAACTGTTTTTCCTTCCAGTTTTGCACTAATTGCCCTCTGTAGCAACATGCTTGAAAGCTTATTTTGTTTGTAAGCTATTTATTTTGTGTGTGGTGGCATCTAAAACGGGTAAGAATGATGAAAACATACTTTGCCTCATGAGGTTCAAAACAACCCTTCACAAAAAACAATTGATTGAAAAAGACTGATGTTAGACAGGTCAGCGGGTTCAGTGTGTTTAAACAGTGATGGTGTGTGTGTGCCCAGCATGTAGGTGGACAGCTTCCTCCACAGTGCAGTTTAGTGAGTGAGGTCTCACTGACAGAAACAGTTCTTTTCAGACAGTGTAGGTGTATCCAAACAGCAAACTGAGGTTCTAATGTCAAAGAGTCAAAGTGGAGAGATGACCCGGCTGTGAGAGAGGTCTGTTTGCAACAAAATACAAACCAACATGTTCTGTCCTCCTCCGTCTCTCTATTTCTGTCAGTTTCGGTCCACATTCTCCTCTTTCAGTCTGACATTTGTTTCCATATTCAAGCATCTGTTTTGAGTGTTCCTTCTAGGGTCTCTGCCCGCTGTCGCGACACCGAATCAAGTGTTTAAAAATCTAAAGGTCAGTGCCGTGTTCTCCAGAGAGCTGGTCCCAGTCACAACAATGCGTTTGGTTCAGTGATTGTTTGGTCCCTGTAACTGATTCCAGTGCAGCGTGTAGCAGAAAGCAGCAGAGACGATAACATCCAAATAGTTCCTCTCCTTCGATTAAACACCCAGCTGCTCCAGTTCATTCCCAGCTGATATGGAGTCATGTTTACATACACAACAGATATGTGCGTGTAAAATGTTTGTCTCCTTTCTGCGTCTCCTCAGCAGTTGTAACAGTAAACAGAATGTGCCATCGAGGTCACTCATGTTTATGATTTCCACTTGAAAATGTATAGAAACATATCGGATGTGTTGGAAAGAACAAATGTCCTTGCTCTCTTTTTTCGTAGTTTTAGTAGATGACCTCGTAAACAGTGGCCTTCTTGTCCCCTGAACCAGTGACGATGTATTTGTCGTCCACAGATATGTCACAGCTTAACACCGAGGAGGATTCTTTAGACTGAGGAGAGAGAAGGATACATAGAACGGGTAAAAAGGTTAGTCACAAATGAAGAAAGAAAAAGACTATACCCTGCTTGAAATACAGTACTAAAGGTTTTACAGCTCTAAAAAAGTAAAACTATACTCTTTGTGGAATCAATATTGCTGAATGATTGAAAAGATCAATAACTATCACAACAAGTTTAATAGCGTTGTTACAGGGGTACGTGCTGATGCAGTAAATGAGACAGGATGGGTTTCCACACTAAAAGTTATATTCTAATGCATAATACAAACAGCAGGCATGTTTGTAACTTTCACTGGTCAAAGTAGAAAATGCCCTTTTTAAGGACAACACAGAACTGTATGGTTTCAAGTTATATATTGCACTGAATGCTTTGCTGGTGGAAGGTTTTTCATCTCCTTAATAAATTAATAAATGATGTGATGAATGTACCAACCTGGAATATGCTGGCTCCATAGGGTGTTCTCCACGCATTCAGCAGGTTGTCCTTTCCTGTGCTCACAAACCATTTACCTGGGTAGAGGAAAAACACATTAGCACTACCACAATATCGCAGGGGGAATAGAATAGAAATAATGAATTTCCTGCCTGCCTCTAGCACCAATTTCAACTTGTAATTTTAAAAGATGGTTTTCAAGAAATACTTTACCCACAACATTAGGATTTCTACATCAAATACTCAGACCGTGTGACTTTGAGGACTCGTAGAAAACTTTTTCCTCCAAAGTAAACAAAGATTCCAAAAACAGAGAAGGTAATGTGTGTGTCTGGGTAAATGAGACTAGGATCATAATGCACAAGTTGTGTGAGAATTTTACAAACATATGTTTTGATATAGTTTTAATGTATTGAAACTCAAGGCCCATTACCTTTAATTAATTAAGACTTATCTCTGTTTATTTGATTCTTTGTTCGCCAAAGAGACAAAACGTCTTTTTACACAGGGAGAGTAATTGGTTTACTAATCGTCATTTTGTAGATGGAGTATTCCTTTCAGGTAGACTACAAAGCCATACAAAATGTATAAACCGAGAGCTAAATCTACTGAGATCCAGACAGCCAGTTGCTTACCACAGGAGGCAAACTGCAGGGAGAGCACACAGCTCTCATGCAGGTGGAGCTGGTATTTGTCAGGCTTGGTGACATGAAGGACCTCCACGTTGCTGCTCTCCATCCCCACAGCGAGCCACTCTCCTGTCGGGCAGTAGCCGAGAGAGAAGATCTGGACACAAGAGACAGGAAATGTTACATTGGAACGGCTGCTGACATTTAATTCAGTCTTTCTGGAGACACTCATTTAAATGTTTAAAAGAGTAATTAAATAGAGATATGAGTGTGTACCTGTGATGTGAAGTCATGCTGCTGCAGCTGCCGTCCCTCTCTCAGATCCCAGGAGCGAACGGTGTTATCGAGGCCTCCGGTCCACAGCTTGGTGCCGTCGTTGGAGATGTCAATACAGCTGGCTCCATCTGTGTGGCCCTGGAACTGCCTGCAGTATACACACATACTTTCTGAGTTAAATAAGTAAATACATGTTTGAAAAAAGTCATACTGAGGAGGAGAGATTGCCTGGGCCATTGTTAAGCATCAAAGACTACCAAAATGTGAATCTCTAAGAATATTTGTATCAGCAGCCAAACAGCCAGGGCTGAGAGTGTGGTTATAAAGGAGGGTCCAAAGTGTGGAGGATGGGTGAATGGAGAACAAACTCAGACTGAAGATCTCTCTTACCTAACCAGTGTCTGGTTGTGTAAATCCCAGACTGCGATGTTTCCGTCGCTGCAGCAAGAGAAGCAGACCTTGGAGTCGGGGCTGATGGCCAGAGCGTAGCATGCCGGCGCCGATGATGTTAACTCCGCTTTAATCCTGGGAGTGGGCGTGGCCAAATCCCAGATTGACAGCGTGCTCGCCTCACCTCCCACTATCAGCGTCCGACCGTCAGGCAGGAGACGACAAGAGCGGATGTAATTGTCTCGGTTCTGGGGTGGCAGACATAAAAGTTTATATATTTAATGTTTTGCATAAAGAAAAGTCGTTACAATCGTCAATTTTTTGTTAATACTTTTTATCAAAAAGGTTTCTCTCTCCGAGTCGATAAAGGCTGATGACCTTAGTCCCACACCAAACTAATTATTTCTTATCATTACCAGATGAAAATCACAGCACAGGTAAACAATTAAGAATGCAGTTTTGCTTTGGCAAGTTCCCCTGACTGTGCTCATTACTGATGGATCAGTGGCTTCCATGGTTGCCATTAGAAGAGCCAATCAACACTGCCCAACATAAACAAATAAACAACCCAACCCACCAACAACAAACTCTGTGTTTTATAGTAGCACAATCTTCCAGAGACCAACTGTGTTTGACAGCGAGAGAGTGACAGAAAATGAAAATATTTTTTTTTAATAAGACATTTTTTTTTTGTCTACAATATTGCATGTGACGGTTGTCTTGTGTTAGTTATGGAAAACCAGGTCAAATTAACATATTTGGCCTTTTAAAAGACATGCACCTTAATGAAGAAATGATAGTTGTTCTCGCTCCACTTTATACAGTATTATATATACACTCACCAGACAGTCCAACTGTGACACTGGGCTCTTGTTTCCGGGGTGACTGATGTCCCAGACCTTGACGCAGCCCTTCCCTCCTGTGTAAACGTGTCGGGTGGGGTTACTGATGGTAACGGCGCACACCACCTCTCCATGGTTCAGTGTGTTGATCTGACGGGCGTGGCGAGGGATCCCTGGGCCAACCAAAGCATCCGGGGGGAAAGGTACCGGCTGCATCTGGCCATCCGCTGCCACGTGAAAAGAATAAGCCCTAAAAACACAAAGAAGGAGGAGAGACGGTTATACATGATGGAAAGATGAAAGAGACGGATAATAACAGAATACAGGGTAAAATAAAAAGAGACAAGAAAGCTGTGCCTGAGAGGAGGTTTACATAAAGGTTCATCCATGTGGCTTCAGGCAATAAGTCATCAAACTAACAAGCAACTGCAAACTAGTGCTTCACAATATTGGAAAATACTGACGTTGCATTTTTCCTTGATACATATTGCAACTTGAAAAAATACAGGAATATTAAAAGTAAAAAAATGTGGCTTCATTTAAAAGTAAAATCTATCTGATACACTTTAAAGTGACATTAAGAAGCTAGCTTTTGTGCTCCATTAAACTTTAAAATATTTTACTCAATAGTCGAACAGATATGAAGGGTGTTGACATGAGCCACACCCACAAAGCAAGGTTAACGAGTTGGGCTCAGTGTTTAAAGACTGATTGGTCGAGTTGTGGACATCATCGTAGAGCAATGACACACAGAAGACATTAAGTCCACACAGCAGGTCCTGCGATGCGACTACTGGATAGATGTATGGTGCAGCCCTACCACATTCACACTTACGGTTTGCCGCCTGGGATTCCTGTCAGACTGGGAGGCATTCGCATGTGAGAATGAGGATCAAAACCAACCTTGAGAAGAGAACACAGACATTTTATGATCACAGTGCAAACACACACCCATTGGCAATTGCAAAATGCTCACAGGTCAATATTAACCCATGAACAGAACACAAATACTTGTGAGCACAAAGCAAACAGACACACACTCCCTTTCTGAATGACGAGTTTAAGCAAACAGAGGCACAACCTTCAGTACATGTGACACACACACACACACACACACACACACACACACACACACACACACACACACACACACACACACACACACACACACACACACACACACACACAAACTTTCTATCAAGTGTTGCCCAGACACAGACACAGCTGTGAGCCTACTAAACCTATTTAAACAGNAAAATTGTTTAATTATTAACTTTGCACTGCAACATTTAATGCAACTATTCCGACTAAAATGTTGTTAACTTAGAGCAGACTGTGTATAATGGTTTCTTTTCTCTGGTTAGTAAGCTTTCAATCCCATAGACATCTTATCAACTGAGCTAAAACAACTAATCCACTGTTGAGGCTCAAGTCAAACTGAATGCAAAAATGCATCAAAGAACAAAGTCAAACTGCCCCAAAACTGAAGTATCCTCATCAGAGAGACAGGACAGATATCACTGAGTGCTTTGTCAGAACAGTAAACCATTGGCTACAGAAAGCAGGGAGACTTACTGTGCCCGGGCTCTCGGTCTATTGCAATTGGAAATGTGTAACATGGGGTAGAGGTCATAGAGTTGGGTGTTCAGCAGAGCAGAAAACAAAAGAAAGAAAGGAAGCATAATGATTATATGGGAAAGTTACATTTAATAATATCCTTTAAACAAGCAAGACCCAACCAGTCTCACAAGACATGAGTTAGAAGCAGTCCAAAACTATTTTGGTCACCCAAATTCGAATAATATGAAATTACTAAGTAACAACAAAACACATCGTTGAGAACATCATTTTAAATTGCAGTTTTAATGAAATCGATGTTGGCTTAAAAAGCGATTCGTGATTAAATCATTTTGTTTATTCACAATTTCCAGGCCAGCACCACTTTCGTATTTTTCATGTGGTGTTCTGTTGGGGGGGTTGATTTTTCCGTTCACACTCTCAGGTGCTCGGTCCTGAAGGGCTGCACATGTCTGCCGGACATGTGGGGCTTTTTATCACCCATTTCTTTCCCCACATGTTGGAGGAACACCAACCAAGCTGCTCCAGATAGAGCCAGGAGACCAAGGCTGAACCCCTCCAGCTGAGAGGTGGTGCAGGCCCGGCAGGGTGAGGGTGAGGGGCACGGGGGCACCACCGTGGTGTGGGATAGGTGTTGCGCTTAGACAACAGGGAGAAAAGAGCGAACAAAGAAATGTGTGGTATGACCGGAAGACAAGTTTCAGCTTAAAGTTGAGTCAGGCCTTTGCCACCAAATTGTACATAGATGGGCAGCTTAGGCAATGTGACAGAGGCTGGTGCTTTTGTATAAATTATTGTGCAATGAAACGTGTCACAGTGTGGATTCAATTTATAATTGATTAGTTGAACAAAGCAAGTGTTTGTCGACCACAGACATTAATTGTTCTTCCTTTCTTCCGTTCTTACTCGTTTGATCTTTCTTGGTATTGTAGGCTTAAACTTGAAATACCAGAATCAGAATTTCTTTATTCTTCCCAATCAGCGGTGGAATGTACATACTCTAACTTAAAAGGTTACCAACAAAATTGAAGCAGTACATGTTCTATTTCAAGACTTAAAAATAGTAAGATGAGCCTCACTGGAATAGCAAAAACATGTTCACATTTTTAATAGAGGATGCGCCACCATGCACGCACTGGACATGCAAGGCCCAAGCCACATGAGACGGTAACGGTCATATCCGCCACAGGTTCTCATACATCATATAGACCAGTGGGTTTTCAAAGTGTGGGTAAGGTGAGCCTCCCCTCAGAGAACATAAGAATAGCCGCGCCTCCCAATTATTATGTGCTGTTATGTATTTATCTATTATTATTATTATTATTGTTGTTGTTGTTGCTATAATGCAGGGGTATTCATTGCATTTCAAAGAGGTCCCAGTAAGAAACATGTTTTAATTAAAATGCTCCATTTCGCTGTCTAACCTTTCCGCCATTGAAATTACTTCCGAACTGTTTTCTCTCTTGTCTCGTCTCGTGTGTGGTGTTTGAATCATCGTGCTGAACTGCACGATTGATTGGCTGAGTAGCGTCACCTCCTTAAAACATTAAACAATAACTTTTTTAAACCTTTTTTATTTTTATGTTTTAAACATATTGTATAGAACTCCCCCACTATACTTGGACTATTCGCTTGCACTCCCTCTAGATCAAGCCCGAATGGTCCTCAACCATAATTGCATCAGTAATGGAACGTGCACTTGTATTATAACAAGATCGCAAGGACACCTGGTAGCGATCGGAAAATTGAGTGTTGTTCAGTTTGTGTGTTGTGGAACATGCGTGTCCGTGCATGAAAATATACCACACACCCAATTACAATTGCATGTTCAATTCACTACCCTGGAAGTTAATACAGTTGTTAAAGTTGGAACAGCCTGTGGACAGCCGTTCTTCCTTGCATGTCAGTCGCCGACACCTTCTTACAGAGGACAGGCACATCTAGCTGCAGCACGACCCGTATATTTCCGCACGCCGTGTTCTCAAGACATATTTTTTTTAACATTTTCAACATGGTGGATAAATCCTTATATGCTCCCGGCAACACACTGAACGTCAACTTTGCCTCCTTATTACACTCACCCCTACTTTAGTGGGAACAATGAGTCTGCGTGTTTGATGCACACAGGAATAAACGCAGATCATACTCTGGCTGCAGCCTTTACCGGTACTTGCTTTTGATCAAAGTCAATGCGGAAAACCTGCACTCACACAGGTAGGTGGAGGGGAAGGGAATGAGCACTCACACAGGTAGGTGGAGGGGAAGGGAATGAGCACTTTTACAGCCTTTTTGGCGAGGTGGGGAAACTCGGTCTCCACAGACAGCAACAAGTGGGCAATTGTCATTTTACTCGTCTTTTTCTCGTTCTTTTGTGTCTCACGCTGCGCCTCCCCTGAAGCTCTCTGGCGCCCCCCAGGGGAGGCGCGCCTCACACTTTGAAAACCGCTGATATAGACGGTTCGGCCACACGAGGCCGACATGGAAACGCATAAAACGATAACGGGTCCCAAGGTGGTTAGATCTGCGAACGAAACGCTCTGGGGGGGCCAAACGGCTCCGTGCTCGCTGCATTTGTGGCAGGAGTACAGCGCCACTTACAGGCCCGGCATATGTACTACAGCGTCTCCAGCGCTTTCGAGCGGTCTCGTTTTAACGGACACGCTTCTGGTGCCTATTGCGTGTGGACGGAATAGTTTTTTGATATCAGATTCGGTTTGTTTGCGTTATCGTCCTCGTGTGGCTCCAGCCTTAGTAACTTTGACGCCGACACCGAAAATCTCAAATGTCAGTGAATGACACTGGGCCGCCAATAGGTAAAGAATCAATAGCACTCTGTATCTAATTAATAGAGATTTATGACCCTATTAAAGTCTTCAACAGATGGGACCGTTCCTTCAGTGTCTGGGTTCAAACCACCTCAACAAGCTGCTGCAGTATACAAGTTGGTGAACACATATTCTCCCCCCACACACACACCGACACACACACTCCCCTCCCTCTGGGGTCAAACACTGAACAATACTGACAGCTGGGATCACAGCCCAGAGCCTGAGGATGTGGTGGGAGAAGCGGGGGGGAGGGAGACAGGGAGGAAAAGGAGGAATGACGGAGAAGTGGAAGGCAAGGGGGGTGCGAGCTGAGAGCCCCAGCTGCTGCCTGCACTGTCAGGTCTGCTGAGGGAGTGAGGCGGCTGAGGAGAGAGAGGAGAGGAGAAAGAGAGAAGAGGGTCAGAGAGAGAGTTTGGCTGGCAGCCCTGCTCTCTCTTTCACACCAAATCAGGCGCTCGTCTGAGCGTGAAATGCCTTTGTGTTCCAAAACATCATTATTGCCTCCTCAGACAGTAGCCGCGGGAATCCAAGCTCACTGATTCGCCACGGGGAAGGGAGGAGGAAGGAGAGGAGGTGGATGAAAAGGGGGGCACAGGAGGCAACTCAGCAGGGATGGAAGGAGTGCTGAAGGTCAAACCGACTTTTATCTCACCTAATTGACTAACCCACTCCTCCTCTCCTGAGCCCCTGCCTTCTCTTTTTCTCTCTATCCATCCTTCACTCTTTGCGTCCTGCCCCGATGAATGAAAGCAAAACAACGAAACAGTCTTTTAGCCTCAACCCCCATGCCTGCCTGTGTGTGTGTGTGTGCACACACACACACACACACACACACACACACACACACACACACACACAAACTTTCTATCAAGTGTTGCCCAGACACAGACACAGCTGTGAGCCTACTAAACCTATTTAAACAGCGTAATGAACACTATGCAAATACAGTCAAGAGAAATGAGTTGATTGAACGAAATGCAAACCAGCACTGTATAAATATTCAAATAATCGCACAGATGAGAGAAAATACAGCTGTGTAACTATTGACACTTTCCAGTAATCAAACATAACCCCACCCCTAAACTTCCTGATCTTTTAATCTGCTAAAACATTAATATGAAGTAAATGTAATTCTGATTTTCAGTTATTTGAGTTCTAAAAAGGTAGATGAAGGAAAGAAAGGAAAGTGAAATGTATGCATCAGTCACTTTCCTGGAAGAAACTCAGTATGTAGACAAAATATGAACTAAACTGAAATAAAATGTCATAAAGCAGAAAGAATGGCAAGGACACATGAAAATCTCCAACACACTGAACTTTTCCTCTCCGTAGAATAAGGTCAATCGTAAAAAAATGGAAAGATAAACCATACAACCGCTGTAAATCTGCTTTGAGCAGGTTAGAGGGTTTCATGGCTGAGATGGGAGCACTGTGCATACAACAACTGTTGCCCGGGTGCCTGAGGGTGAACAGCAAATAAGAAGCGACTGTTGAGCACACTTATAAGCCAAGACGAAGGCCAAAGCAGAATGCATGACTCGTCTTGTCTCACCTTTACCAAGCAACTTCACAGAGGTATGAGATATCTTGAGTTCCTGCCAAAACATGCTCCAGTGAAAACTGACTTCAAACTCAATACCTTTTAAATAATGATTTTGTTTTTCAGACTTGTACTTCATCTCTAAAAAAAGTTTTACTTTTGTGTTTAAATATGTTCCTGTACAACAACAGAACAAAGACAATCTCACAATATTTCTTGCAGGTAACAGAAGATCTATTCTAATTTTTTTATTATCATTTAACTAAACCACAAATCATTTTAACTCACCATGGGTGAGCGGCCGTACGCTGCCACAGCGGCCGCAGCTGCTGCACTCATCTGAGGGGACATGTTGTGCAGTCCAGCAGCGTAGGCCGCGGCTCCGGCTGCTCCTGCCAGCTCCCCGTTCATCGCCGCTGCGTGGGGCAACATACCAAACGCACCCGGGTACGGGCCGGGTACAGCAAGAGGGGTCCTCAAACCTGCAGCTGAGGAGGAGAGGGGAGGGAGACACATTAAATACAGGTAACAACCCCAATGATCCCATCACAAGTGGACGCCCTTAAGCATGTCTGTGACAATTCTTCAAATTTCCAAAGTCAAATTAAAGCATTTTTCAAGCAAGGATTTCCAGCACCTGTAACAACCCTGATTCTTGTCCCTACAGATGTATCTACTTACTCTAGGTGCAAAGTGAACTCCAGCATTAGGTATTTCTGACCGTAATTGAGATTATTTGCAGGATCAGATGATGAGGTGATTAGATTTATAAACATCATTTTAGAAGCAGGCTAAAAGAACTACACCATTTAACAACTACACCATTTAACCAAGACCTTTTGACTCTTAACTGTGAGGCCAAATTTTCCTGGAGGCAATTCAGAAAACAATACTTATTGCCTTCTGGCGAAGATAAGCACATGAAATAACTCAACCCATCATATCATTAATTTACAAACTATTCTACTGGACTTACTGGCTGGATGTGGCATCTCCATGGACGGGGGTTTTGATAGACTGGGCCGGATTCCAGGGGTGGAGCTGGGACCAGGGGTGGAGTCACCTCTCGGTGTGGGCGTGCTTGACTTTAACCCAGGCGTGCCTGCCTTGTCTCGCTGCCACAAAGAGAGAGACATTTAGAAACAAACAAGAAATGTAACTACTGACACATGTTTTCTCCTTTCAATCAATTCATCTTTCTTCTATTCAACTATCTGCGGAGACAGCTGAAAGTGTGTCTTGTCCATCCCTACCATTGCCATCTCTTTGGACTTGAGGGAGGAGGAGCTGGCTGAGGACGCAGTAGAGGCTGGACTACTGGGGTCTTTCTTGAGAAGACGGGCTTTATCATGGCCATTTTCTCTTGGGGAGGGGATAGGTGTGCCGCGAGGGGAGGCTGGATCCTGGTGGAGGGACAAAGATTCAGTTAACTACCTGAAAACATAAGCACTGCACTAAATGATGATCGCAACAATCCCATGGACAGCTGTGAATATATTGTGGTTCATTTAAAAGAAACCATTCCCCACAGACAACTGTAATACCTATACACTCATCCTACAGGAAACAACCACAATGACAAATATTAAAACATACTGACCTCATTCGATACATCCACCACTAAATTATCATCGCTTTTCTCCCCGTCGCTGTCCTGCAAACCACAACAATCAGTTAGCACACTTAAAATTAGGAGGTTACAAGAGTTAGCAATTGAATATTCAAGTTGAAAAAATACCAACTGAAACATATACTAACATTTGATGTGTGATTATGATGTGTGCAATAACTAAAACATGATTGCAAATTTACACAGATAAATATTGTTTTCCTTACATCCCTTTACACAAAAAAACATACAGTCAGAAAAAAGAAATCTTACATAGTGGCTCGAGTCCTTGTCTTCCACCTTGCGTTTCTTGGAGTCATTTTGAAAATCGGGTCCGTTTCGTCGCTTATCTGAGTTCCTGAGACTTTCTGGCAGCGATGAGTTACTCTGCAGATGAAAGCAGAGAGGAGAGTAGAAGGAGAGCAGAGGAAATAAGATGGGTAGTGTAGAAAGAAAATGGATAAAGAGGAAAATAGTTTGGAGGGGGAAAAAAAGAGATTTTTTTTTGCAGAGGTGAGACAATTTTGCCATTTGTGCTGTGTTGGGCATTTTTCATGAACTCTCTCTAAACCATCTGATCCATCTACCACTAATTAACAGCTTTTCAGTCGGGTTAGAAAAACAGACTCTTACTTGCAAACAGGTTAATAGTTCACAGTAGCATGAATTAAGCAGCACTAACACTCCAACAGAAACCTCTTTTCTCACTTGACCAGAGCCAGCCCCACACACACACCTCTGAAGCTGACGATTACATTAAGTGGCTCTTAAAATCTATCAGTACTCCCTCTCATGGCACAGTCAGTGTGTGTGTGTGTGTGTGTGTGTGTGTGTGTGTGTGTGTGTGTGTGTGTGTGTGTGTGTGTGTGTGTGTGTGTGTAAATAACTGTAAAAGCCTGTGTGTGAGTGTGTAACTAAATGCATGTGTGTATTACTTGCATAACACTCATGCATCCCTCTACACACACGTACACACAGACGTGCACGCTCCCAAAAACACACGTGCACACACGTGCACACAGCTCCCCCCCTCTGGCCTCCTGACCAACGGATCCTATTGTTAATGGATTAAAGCTTCATGTTGAGTCCATTATAGTCTCAGCCTGTCAATGAAATGTGCATCCAACATACACAAACACACATGCGCGTGCACACATCTAGGGACGAGCGCTTGGGCTCTGAGGGGGGAAAGGGTAAATGAAGGAGGAATAGCAGAGAAGAGCAGGGGAGGAGGGTGAGAAAAAGTGGGAGAGGGAGGGGATGAGATTAGAGGACAGAGAGCATGAGGGAGGGGGTGAGTGTGGAGAAGAAGAAAGGGTGACAAGAGACGAGGGAGGGAACGAGAGGGGTGGGGGGGTTGAAAATCTGTATTCTGCCAAAGGCCCCCTTCCTTCACGCCCTTCCCTCTTCCTCCCTCCCTCCCCCCCTTCATTGAAAGGTTTTAGTGAGCTGAGCACAGGAGCACTGACCCGCAAAACATAAGCAATTTCCCCCCTCCGTCTCTCCCCTGATCGCTTTTAGCACAGTCTCTCCCACACACACACACAAGCTCAGTGTCATATGACTCTGAAATATTCCAGTATTAGAGATCAATTAATCTATGTCTCACGCTAATCTAGGAAATGGATAACCGCCGGGTCACCAGGTAAGTGACTTAAACTCTATAAAGCACAGCCGCAGTTCAATGGATTCCGACCTCGTGTGCTCCTGCTATCTGCGTTTGTTTGGCTTAGACTATAGTTTTTTGATAAGGCGAGGTGTGGATTATCGCGTGGTCTTCGCACAGGCATTTTGCTCTGGCGAGGGCTTTTCGGGGGGGGCACCTTCTGCGCACATGCTGTATACGGCCCGGACATTCGACGCGACATGAGGACGAGTTTACGTCGCTCGTGCCCTTCTGCAAACGGGTGGGTCCGTCGCAAAGCAGCGGCTGATTGGTGGACCTGGCAATAGCAAATACGCAAAGGTACGCCCGGAGCACACCGGCTTGCAATATAGTCGGGCGCCAAAAGTTCATCACTCCGTTGTTCTGAGGGGAGGCCCGCGTCTCTCGAAGTGCCCCTCCGCGTCGCACTCTGTGTTTCCTGCTCTTTTTCTGCTCATTTTACTGTACGGGGTGACAACACAGACACCTCTGGCTCAAAGGGGCACGGTTTCTTCCGACCACTTTTCACGGTAAGGGAAGGGGGACGGTGGATGGGACACAACTCACGAGTAGAGGGCAAGGCGGGAGGTGCATGGACACACTCACGTCCAAAAGGCGTAACTGAAACTAGTTTCGTGCATGGCCATTCCGAAGCGTCGGTCTCATACTAGACGCAAATAAGGGACACACGTATTTCTTCGTCCTGAGTAACAAGGGTTGATTTCATCCCACTCACATATTCTCGTTCAACGCAAGTCCACCACAACGGCCTCGTATATTCCTAAATAGGATGGTACAACTTTTATAATGTTTTTTTTATACAGAATCTCTTGGTGCCGCACCGCTTTATATCTCCAGCACGATCGTCGATTCTACACGGATCTAGGATTGACTTTTCTTCCACTTGTCTCTCTGACTTGTTATCGTCTCTTCTTGTTGCCGATTCAGGTGTTTCTGACAAGTTGTTGAATTGTGACATAATTTACATAGGTCCTATTCACTTAACTTGTTATTTTTTTCGTTATATCTATTATATCTCTCATCTTACCTTTAATTAATGACGTGCTCTTTGTGTCGTTACCAAGGTGTTTGTGTTGTGTTATTCTTTTGTGAGTAATAAGGCTAGCGGATGCTACAGGGGATATCGCTAGTACAATATTATTGTTCTATCTGTGCATATGAGTCTATTTCGTTTACACTCTGGTAATGGCCCGATATAAGATCTCCCCCCGTTCCTTATCAGGTTCATTCACCCCCTCAAAAATATGTTTATTAAATTTTGTTTTTTTTCCAATTTTCCATAACAAATTACAAAATTCCTCCCACTTGCGGATGAGTCTTGTGTTTTGTTCTCTCTTTTTCTTTTGTGCTATCTATGTGTGTGTCTTTTCTGTGGTGTGTCTCTGCTCTGTTCTCCTCTCTTTGTCAGCCTCATTATTTAGTTTACTCGTCCTTCCATCTGTCCGCTTTTCCCTCGTATTATTTATTTTCATAGGTATTGACCTTTGTTGAATACTTACGTTCAACTTTATGGGGACGTAATATTCGTTGTTGTTGTTGTATTATTATTATTATATTATTATTATTGTCGTATTTTGAACCTCCCCCCCCGGCCGATAAGATACAATGTATGTATCTCCTCCTGGTGTGGTGTGAAAACTTTTGGGGACCCAGATATACTAATTCTCTTGCAATTCCCTATACTGGCAATGGTTTTTTTCAGGAGTACACCGACCGCGGAACAAGAAGGTCACGATTTTTTTTTGTTTCTTTTCTTGTAGGATATAATTTTTCATCTTGTACAAAAACCCGATAAAGGTCACTCGAGTAGATATGCATTCAAAATTCAGAACTTTATTGACATGACGAAGTAGAATAACACCATTTTGAAAAATCAATCTAATACAATGTAAAGGGGCGACAAGCCTTCTTTTTCTTTAAGACTAGAGACCATAAGTCAATTCGGATTGGTTGGTTTCTTCTAGTTTGTCTATTCTTTGCCTTCTTCCTTCTTTTAAATAAGCACCAGCTGTTTGTGAACGAAACAGGTTGATTAGTTAATCTATTAACTTACGGTGTGTTACACTGTGCAAAGAACGTGTTATTAATATTTTTTTTTTTTGTTGTTGCTGATTTTTAATTTAAGATTCTACTTAGATATCTTTTACCCTCGTTTCGGATGAGTTGATAATTTTCTTTGCAAGGAAGGTTGATTGTGTGTTTTTTTTGTATTATGTTTAAAGGGGACATCAGATTCTGTCGTTGTGGTATTTTGTGTGTGTTCTTACCCGGGGCACGGGGAGTGGGTGGAGTGGTTGTCTGGTTTCTCGTGACGTGGGAGAGTCGACCCCCCAAGTCTGACCAAGGACTCGAGATAGACCTCGGTTCACACCACAGTTGATTTGTTGTGTGTTATTTTTCTGTTCTTTTCCCAACTTGCTTTCGGGGTGTACAGGCCTCGTCTGTATTCGTATGGAAGCGCTGGTGCTCCGTGGTCTCCCCTTGTCTTTGTTGGTGTTTGTGTTCTTTTTCTTGTGTCTTTATGTTTCACCACCGACCGGACCTTACACAGCTTACTTTTGTTTTTACTAAATTATGCTTAGCGAAAATTCGGTTGTAGCTGAAAGTATTTTGCGTTAAATTTTACTATTAAGTAGGTGTCTTAATATTTATCTAATATATGATATCATATAATGTATTATTATTGCTATACTATGTCTGTGTTTTATATGTTCGAAGTTCTTTGTGTTATAGACTCCTGCTAAACCTCAGAAGAACAAATTTCTTAATAATACATTGATTTATAGTGTAAATACTTGAGTAATACTGGAAGGATATGAAAGAAAACATAATAGACGACTGGACGACTTTGGGTGATGATACTGGAGTATGGGTACCATGGTAAGGTTGAAGTATCTGGTTTTTTTTTTTTTTTTTTTTCTCGGGCCTGTGTTCTATTTTGAGGAGTTTGTCTGTCTATTTGTTTCTTGAGTTTTTTATGGTATGAGTGTCTACTCTATGAAGTCTATAAACTCCTTTTTAAACTGTAATCTTTGTATTACTATTGAAGTTATAACTGAACTTCTGTTTCTTCTTATATCATTTTTTTTTCGTTGTCAACCTATCTACAGATACCCTAAGCCTTCGAAATGGTTGGTCTCTTTTCTTTGTATATGTGTCAGACGCGGATTCAATTGTTGGTAAATCAGACTTACAACGTAATTTACAACGTCACGTTTCAATATTTTAATTGTTGAAAACCGAGACATCTAATTGTTTCATTTTCAGGATTTTTTTTTTTTTTTTGGAATAAATGTCTCAAATTGGACGAGATATATCATACATTTCTCGTTTACATAGGTGTATTTTCATCTGGACGTGAAGTTTGATTATATAGTTCCACTTGACGTGGACAACGCTCCGTACCGGATTAAAGAGTGTAAGTAAAATTACCATAATAATAGTAACGAGGGACGTCTCCTGATTTTGGTAAAGAGGAATACGTTATTTTTCTGGAAACGTACCAAGGATAAACCTAACCAAAAATGGCTGCCCCCAAGAGAGGTTCTATCGTAAAGTAGGAATTCTATCATTATAATAACCACACACACACACACACACAAATCCTTCTAAGAGAACCCGGTCTCGAAACCGGACGGGACAATAATCAAGACGGGATTAGTTTTACGAGACTTTTCAATCCAAAGAAAGAAAAAGAGGAGGTTTACTCGAAAAATCGTACCCAGTGCTTGTGTGTGTGGGTACGTCTGTGTGTGTGTACGTGTGGTGGCGTGCGTGTGTGCGTGTGTGTGTGTGTGTGTGTGTGTAGGCGGTCGAACGGACGTAACAACACGGATAAATTTGGAGTCACTCGCTAATGGGAAGAAGAGGGAAGGTGGCCGGACTAGCGCGGGCGCGAATTTCTGAGAGTAACACAAATTGATAGTGGTGGTGGTGACTCCTCCCCTCCGAACCCTTTCCCTGCCCTATGTCCCTCCCCC